CCCCAAAACCCCAAAACCCCAAAACCCCAAAACCCCAGCTTAATCAAACCCCGGAATATATTAAAAAGTCACCAAGTGCAAAATATGGAGAAAACAGGATTTTAAGCCAAAGAAGTAAAAATAAGAAATTTAGCCAAAATTTAAAAACCAACAATTATGTTAACTCCTCCAAGCTGGTTTTCTTCAAAGACTTGTTCAACTTTATTTTTGGTTACTCCGCATTCAGTGACATCTACTTCTTCAAGACTCAATCTTAAATCTGGAGAGCTTGCTAATCCTTGTACCAAGTTCTCGAACTCGTCGAAGTTGTTCTCCCAATCACTTCCATCCGAGTCTCCTGATCCTTGTAAATATATTCCCTGGATTTGGCAATTCTTCAGAGCCTTTGACAAATCAGGAACACTTGGGATAGATAGCTTGCAATATATTAATCCCAAAGTTCTCACATGCTTGAAAGCTGCCACGAGCCTCTTCAGTTGGGGCAGGCCGATGCTGAAATTTTTAAAGCAAACTTTTTGAACGATTTTTGAGCTGAGTCTGGTCAGGGAGTGTAAGTAGGTGGACCTTTTCAGATCCATTTGATCACTGGACAAAAAATTGAGAGTCTTAACTTTATTTGGGAATGAGGATTGTAAGAAATTTACAAAACACCTATTTTTAGAAGTAATCTCATCCAAATGAAGGCAATCTATATCAAAAACCTTAGGACACTTCAAACTTTTCAACAGTTTTTCATCTCTGATTTCGTCCAACTCAATGCCAAGGAAACTGTTTCCTGACATTTCTTCGGAGTCTGGATCCGATGGCTCAAATTCTCTATCTGGACGACTCTTATAGAGGATGCTCTGACATGTGGTGACTTCTTGCTCCTTAGCTTCTGCCAGGACAGACTTCTCTAAGCTACACAATTAGAGGCGAACGGGGAGGTAGATTAGTGTTAGGATTCGTCAGAAAGTTGGAGATGAAAGGGTGCTAATTTAGATTTTGAGAACTCCCAGGTTTAGGTCTTTAGGAGAAATGTTGTCTGTGGAGGTCCCAAATGAATCTAAGAGAGGTCAGGCTTATAAACTCTCTCTAGTTTTGCTATGAACTTCTCGGTCAAGAAATTTTCGGTGAAATCATTATAAAAGTTGGAAATTTTGGTTAAACTTTAAAGTCTTGGGACTTGTTACAAATTTGAGAGTGAAAATTTAAAGTATTCTAAAACTAAGCTCTCAATTACCTGATTATCTGGGTGTTCTCTTCTTCAATAGCTTTAGTAGTACTTTCCATTTTATTATTATAAAAACTTAATTTAAATTTTATTTTTCAATATGTCTGCAGAGGAGTGGGGTTTTGGGGTTTTGGGGTTTTGGGG